TACCCCTGTAGGCAATTGACCCAATACCCCTCTAGGCAATTGACCCAATACCCCTCTAGGCAATTGACCCAATACCCCTCTAGGCAATTGACCCAATACCCCTCTAGGCAATTGACCCAATACCCCTCTAGGCAATTGACCCAATACCCCTCTAGGCAATTCACAGGCAGTCTTGCCCGTGAATGGAAGCAGGGTATCAGACAGAAAACGGGCCAGTTTGTAGGTAGGTGAGTTGATAGTGGAAACGATGGGCCGAAGTGGAGAACCTTCTTTATGGATTTTTGGAAGACGATAGAATCTGGGTAGTCTAGTAGCAGAAGGTTTTAGGGAGAGCCGTTTGAAAGGTTCGATTAGAAAAGTCGAACTGGTAGTGATATTGTTGTTTTTGTAGCCAGACGGTTGGTAGGATCTTTGTTGATTTTGGTGTAACTGCCATCATTAAGAAGGTCCTGGATTTTGTTGTTGTATGTGGTTTCATCCATGATGACAGTAGCATTGCTCTTGTCGGCTGGGTGGATGACTATGTCATCTCTTTTTTTCAATGTGGTGAGTTCAGAGCGCTCGTCTTTGCTGATGTTACTAATGGGTTGCTTAGCATTTTTAAGAATGGTGGCAATTTCAGATCCTGCCACATCTGTCGGGATGTGTCCGAAGCCTTTGAGGGCTACATCTACCTGGGCAATTAAATCATTAACTGGTATGTGTTTGGGGGTGACAGCAAAATTCAGCCCTCGAGCTAGTACCGATTTAGGCTATCGGAGATTGTACTGCTACTCTGATTGATAACAGTCTTGTTAACATCTAGCTTTTTAATGTGGATCTGGTTTCTTTTTTGACAAGTTATTGAATTTAGCAATAAGGTTAACCTTGCATTTGGAGAACATTGTTGCGGCAGAAGAAGCAGTCATGCTCTCTACAAGGTTCCAATCAAATGCGGACATTTCATGTTAATGCTAAGTGTGATTGTAGGAGACATGTTTAAATTATCAAGTTCAAGCCAGAGTAGTCTTATCCTGAGATTAGAGAAAGGCTAGCTCTGAATAAAATCCGTTTGGCGTTAGAAGTGACAGAAGCAGATGTGAGTGTAAATGTGGTAGGTATTACCTTGTTGTCGCGGCATCTCTTCAGAAAGGTGAGAGACTCGATCATGTGAGCCTTCTTGTCTCGTAGTCTGTTAAAAGCTCTAACAGATGTGTGAAAACCCTCCCCGTAGAGGTGGTTCAATCTTCATTAGAAGTTTTCGTGACTGCAGGAATCCATACTCTTTGGTTCTTTCGCTAAAGTCACGTAGGTAGAAATAAATCCAGAAAAATAAACAGACATAACTTCAACCGAGAAGATGGATACAAATTGAGCAATCATTGGAAGGATGTCATTAACCAGGTAAAACCGTAACTGCTTTATGGTTGTGTCTATCATATCTGCCGGGTACTAGTCTATTTTTAAATCCTTTATATTAAGTTCACTTGCTTGCTTGCTTGCGTGCTTATGACCGTGCAAATCTTTCGGTCGTTTTTTAACCCACTTCTCGTGATCCAATCGAGCTGACATTTTGCACACAGACTCGTTGTGCGTGACAATTTATTTTCGTGAATTTTTTTTACGTAACTTTACACTTTTAATGAAAAAATAAATTATTATATTTAATTACCAATTGCTTAATGGTGGCAGGCAATTATCTGACCGATAGATAGCAAGTCATCTCAAGACAGAGGACGAGAGGACTCTAGCCGCCACGCATATAAAGGATTTATACTGGTAGGAACGAAGTGGACCAGCCTACAATAGATTATATCGTCCGCCCGTCCGTCCATCCGACCGTCCGTCCGACCGTGTAGCAACATCGTCCCCTACTGAAACACTTGGCATGACCCTACAAAAACCTTTAGACTCAGTGACGCTTTCCTGGCTAAACAAGTGTAACATTCCCTTATAATTCCCTCAGATAGCTTTTAATTAAAACATTTAAATTAATGAGGCTTTCCTGGCTAAACAAGTGTAACATTCCCTTATAATTCCCTGAGATAGCTTTTAATTAAAACTTTTAAATTCACATTTTATAATTAAAACTTTTAAATTCAAATTTTACTCACAGCGCCCTAAAGCCTACAGCTAGGCCTAAAGCCTCGAACTACGCCTATCACTCTCCCTTCGTATCGTACCCCCGCGTGTGTGCAAGGGAGTTAATGTTTAACAATGTTAGATTCCCTGATGCTTCAAAATAGAAACATTTAAATTTAAAGCTTTTACATAAATAATAAAAACATTTAATTTTAAAATTAACTCACGGCGGCCTAAAGCCTACAGCTAGGCCTAAAGCCTAGAACTAGGCCTCGACCTCTCCCTTCGTATCGTACCCCCGCATGTGTGAAAGGGAGTTAATGTTTTACAAGGTTACATTCCCTCATGTTTTAAAATAGAAACATTTACATTTAAAGCTTTTACATAAATAATTAAAACATTTAAATTACAAATTAACTCACAGCGGCCTAACGCCTACAGCTAGGCCTAAAGCCTGGAACTAGGCCTCACACTCTCCCTTCGTATCGTCCGATTCGGTGTAGCAACATCGCCCCTTACTGCAAACACTTGGCAGGACCCTACAAAACCTTTAGACTCAGTGGGGCTTTCCTGGCTAAACAAGTGTAATAATACATTATGTTTACATTCTTTGGTTATTCGTTCCTACCAGCCCACCCCGCAGGGTCCTGTTAGTGAAAAACTTTGTTTTTACGGGTTAATTTTTTAAATCCTTTATATTAAATTCATTTGCTTGCTTGCTTGTGCGCTTATGACCGTGCAAATCTTTCGGTCGTTTTTTAACCCACTTCCCGTGATCCACTCGAGCTGACATTTTGCACACAGACTCGTTGTGCGTGACAATTTATTTTCGTGAAAAATTTTTTCCATAACTTTACACTTTTTAGGAATTTTTTTTAAATATTTAATTACCAATTGCTTAATGGTGGCAGGCAATCATCTGACCCATAGGTGGCAGCCATCTCAAGCCAGAGGACGAGAGGACTCTAGCCGCCACGCATATAAAGGATTTATAGTGAAAAACTTTGTTTTTACGGGTTAATTTTTTCCAAGTAAATTTCCCCCTGCATCCTCAGCTTTCTCAGCCTCCCACTTCCAGCCCCGCCCACTCCCCCCCCCCCCCCACAGCTTCACGTCCCCTCTCCGAGCGCTCACGCAGCGCTCCCCTCCCCCTCCTCTCTCTCTCTCTCTCCCCTTGCCCCTTCCCCTTCTTACCTATATAACCTCTTGCCACGGCAGCTCTCTTTCCCACTTAAGCAAAACATTGTTTTCTTGATGTGGTTTTCCTATTCTTAGGCTTTTTCGGTAAAGTCACGTAGCTAAAACATTAAAATTAATAAAAGTAAAATAAAATAAAAATCACGACGTTTCGGAGGCAACACAAGCTTCCGTCCTACCTGATGATAATTGCTTGTGTTGCAATTGAAACGTCGTGATTTGTTTTATTTTAGTTTATTTCTAACTACGTGATTTTAACGAAAGAACCAAAGAGTATGGGTTCCTGCAGTCACGAAAGCTTAAAATCAAGACTGGGATCTCAAGTTTATAGAATTTATGGTCGCACCATGCTCACAAAAATACTGCAATGTGATGAATATTTCTCAATAGCAGCTCCTGTTGTGTGGTAAGAGGTAATTACAGGGATCTCAGAATTAGTTGTGTGAAACTCCATGTGCTTCGTTCTTTAATTTATTACTCGTCCTTTGAATACATTTTCTGTTTTCTGTAGCCTGGGAGTCGTGGCGCCAGTCGACCACGTGGGGAGACATTATGGATAAAGTGGACCCTTTCCCAGGACAAAGTTATGAGAATTGCTCCCCAAAGGTGTGTATGGGATCTATGGGGGTCAAACACACCACATTATCTCCATACCATCACACCAAACTATCACGACACCTCACATCACCACACTATCTCTCCACATCACCTTTCCCATCACACCACACTACCACCAACTCAAAACACCATCATAGAGCCTCATCATGCCTCTATATCATTACAAGACACCGTCTCTTCAGAACATTCCACTACTTCCCCTCTCCATATCACAACACGATCCCCCAACACCATCACCCCATCTCTCCACCATCACGTTATGCCATATCAAACATGGGAAGGCACTTGAAGTGGCCATTTATTACCAATGAAGACACAATGACATTAGGCAATAACATGAATTTTGTTTGTGAGATGATTGCAAGTTGCCATTCCAGTTGCCCACTGTGGTTGCAGCAGTGAAATTTGTCCAGATTATGGGCATCCAGATGTTTACAATGGAATATTGTGGAAACTATTGCCCGTGATGATTGTTGCCAAACAATTGCCATGAAATCTTCACAGTCAATCACAGCCTTAAGTACGTGAATGGGGTTTGTGAGGGTATATAAGCATGTAACATGTATTTTGATTCTGTAGGGTTTGGGTTATTTAGGGGTTAGGGCACTTACAATGTGATAAAAGTATTGATGGATAAGGAGTTGTGTTAACATCAGGTGATTGTGTATATTCATATATGTGCTAAGCAAGTTTGCATGAGTAAATGTAGATGTTTGCATCCGTACATAGATTTGTGAGTATGCATTTGTGTTTGGTGCCTGTGGGTATGAATTTTGCTTGCATGTGCATGTCTGAATGTTTATTTGTTTATCTTTGCTCGAACAGAGGAGCATTGGGGAGTGGAAGCACTTCAGCGGGGTGAAGCGTCTCCAGGAGAAGCACCTTGTGAAGGAGAAATGCACCATGGAAAAGGAGCGCCTCATTGAGGTGCAGCGCCTTGCCAGGATGAAGTGCCACACAGAGGAGAAGTGCCTCAGAGACAATCTACTCAAGAACCACCTCATTGAAAAGCATCTCATTGAAGTGAAGTGCTTCAGGGATGAGAAGCGTCTTCGCAAGGTGAAGTGGCTCGAGGAGAAGCATCGGGAGAAGCGTTTTGCAAGGTGAAGTACCTTGGAGAGGTGAAGCGTCTCCAGGAGGAGAAGTGTCTCAAGGAGGTGGAGTGCATCATTGAAGGAAAGTGCCTCGTTGAAGTGAAGCGCCTCGCCAGGGTGAAAAACCTCACACAGCAGAAGTGCCTCAGAGACAATCTCCTCAATAATGTGAAACGCCTCATGGAAAAGTGCCTCATTGAGGAGACCAGCTTCATGGAGCAGAAACGCCTTCGTGAGGTGAAGCGTCTCAATGAGAAGCGTCTGGAGGAGGAGAAGCGTTTCACCAGGGTAAATTACCTCACCGAGGTGAAGCGCTTTGCCAACATGAAGCGGGTCGAGGAGGAGAAGCGCCTCATGGAGAAGACGCGCCTTGTTGAGGTGAAACTTCAAGAGGAGGAGCGCTTCATGGAGGAAAAGCACATTGTAGAGGAAAAGCATCTTGTGGAGGAGCAGTGCCTCGCCAAGATGAAGCAACAGTGGCTCCGGACAGCTACCACCAGCAGCACCACCAGCAGCACCGCCAGCAGCCCCACCACCACCGCCGCCACTCTTGTGAAGGGCCCGATTGCTCCGAGCTTTGGAGAAGAGGGCTTCCAAGAAGAGAATGCAAACTCTGGGGCCGCTGATCCACGGTAAACCACTCTGCATGTGTCCTATGTGTGTTTATTTCTTTATTTATTATGCTTGTTTTTCTCAGGACGAGCCTCATGAAGTCTCAAGACTTTTTTTCAAGAGGGTCCTGCCAAGTTTGCTCGCAGTAGGGAATGAAGTTGCTACTGTTTTTGATCAAAATTAGGCAATTTGCATTGCTTGTGTGGATCAGTTACAGGAAGAAAGCTGCAGCACCCTTCCAGAATAGGGGGCAACACACTCCACAGAGAGAATATGGCCAAACATGTAAATCAAACCCAGGTCTCTCTTACTGTGAGGCACAGATGCTCCAGCCCTGCCACATTTACAAATACACAGACACAGCAAGCCCAACGCGTACATTCGGCTATACTGTGGACAGATATATTTTCCATAATTAGTGTCTGGGTTAGATCACATAATGATGCGGCCATATCTTCACCATGTAACCCTCCATCCACCGTGATATTTTGGCAGACTAAGGCCTGACTCCAGGCCAGCTTCCAAGTTGCCTTGTAATGCACAGAGACAGCTATCACTGGGAGGGGTGTCCAATTTCAAATGCATTGAGACAAGAGATGCGATATGTGAGTGGCTCATCGCGTGCAATGCACTCTGAGATGCCTTCGATGTTAAGGGAGGCGACTCTTTCGACCACAAATCGCTGTCATATCTTTCCGAAATCGTGGATGGGTTTACGCGGCCAAAAGGTAGCACACTCAACGTTCACCACTTACAGTTCAGATATTGCTTCTTGCCCTTGCTATTGTAGAGGTGTAATTGCGCATGGCTACGGATGTTGAGGTGTAATTGTACATGGCCACGGATGGCCAACAAACACAAGGGGCGGGGTTACGGCCGTACACAAGGGTGGCGCTCGCACCGACGTCCGCATGTGCATCCCCCACGGGCCCCCCCTCGGGGGCGAGTCCTATAAAAGGTGATGAGCTCGAGGGCTCGAGGTCGGGGCTCAGCTTTAACCAGAGAAGAAGGAAGACCTGCTAGAATAGGCCCCAGAGCTCCCCTGGCTCGCTGTCCTTATAAGGGCCGACCAGGGCAAGCCGGTGGCGTGGCCCCGAGAGCCCAGACTAAGCTGGTCTGGAGACTCAGGGTGCCGGGATCCCAGCTTAACCAGGCTGGGACAGATAGCCTCCCCTAGCCCCGTAGTGGAGGAATTGGCATAGGTTAGCGGGGTTAGCTGTTGTGCATCCCTGTAGCCAAGTGACCCGTAATTACTGTGTTGGTGTAATAAACAAGTGTGCCTCCGATCCTGTCGTCAAGCCTCCTACATACTTACTACATCTGGTGTCAGAAGTAAAACGTTCAACGATGGACACACGAGGGACGACACGTACCAGGGGGTCGGAGATGGAAGACGCCGCGGCCGAATCACCACCAGAGATGGCCGGGGTCGGATCGGAGCAGCCGGGGCCGAGTACGCCCGCGCCGCTACGACAAGAGGGGGGGGGATGCGTCGGCCGAAGGACTCCGGCTGGCTCACTCCCGCCTGGCGGAACTGCTCTACGCCGCGGCCGCCGCATTGGAGGAGATCACGCGGCTGGGGGCTGGAGGGGCAGCGCGGGTCGACGACAGCAGCCGACGCGCAGCGACGTTTCCCGCCACCCCGACGCGGCTCGCGGTTAAATTTCCCGCCATCACTACAGTGCGAGCAGAGGGCGGGGCCGGCCCGCGTCAGGTGACTGCTGAGCGCCAAGCACAAGGCGTGACATCATCAACACCGGACAGCGCGTCAACATCAGAGCGACCGGCGATGCCATGCTTGCAGCCCGCCCACACTGTATCATCTGCTGGGAGCGACGGAGAGCGATCTGCAGCCACGGACGTCGCGTTACAGCAGCGTCTGCCGCCTCTAAAAGAATTCGTGGGCGCGGACGGAGACTGGGGCGGCTTCAAGAGGCGGTTCATCGCTCATCAAGAGATGGCGAACTAGTCGGACGCCGAGGCTCTACGCGCGCTGCCGGCGATGCTGGACAACGACGCCCTGGCTACCCTCACCTCGGCGCCTAAGGAAAAGCGCGCCACTCTGCACCTGGCGCTGCAGCTGCTGTCAGCCGTCTATGGGCCGCCTTCGGACTGCAGGCAGCTGTTCCACGATCGGCATCGGGGCGCCAACGAATCGCCCCTGGCCTTCCGGACGGCTCTCCTGGCCCTAGCGAAGGCTGCTTTTCCACGAATGGACGAGGAAGGAGTGGATGCCATGGTGGCTGAGAAGCTGCTGATACTCGCTGATGAGCTGGACGTCAACGTCCTGGCTCAAGACGACGCAGAAATGTCGTCCCTGCTGGTCGCGCGCCACATCCACGGGGGCCTGCGGTCCCTACGTCGAAAGGCGGCCAAGGGGGCGGCCGGCCATGCCATGGCAACCACCGCCCTCCCATCGGAGGAGGTCTGCGGGGTGGAGCGGCGAGGGGAATGGAGATCGGCGGCACCACAGGCTCGGAATGGACCGAGCCGCCAGGAGCAGCCCAGGACATCTGGGGCGCTCACACGCTGCTACAACTGTGGCCTACAAGGCCACGTCGCGTCAGGATGCCGGGCTCCCCGTCAGCGCGGGGCGACACCTCGTCAGGACGCCACGCCGTCTCCTCCCAAGCTCCAGTAGAGAAATACGGCGAGTCGTGGCACCTCACACGTTTGGCCCATGCACACATCCGACACACACTCGCGCGCTCAACTAAACAGGGCTCGAAAATCACCGTCCGTCGCGCGCGATTGTTCTGTAATGCGGCGAGCGCTCCAACCGGGTCAGTGGTCGGAGCTCGCCCATCGTGTCGTTGCTGCGTCGGCGGGATCATCGGTTGTGGTTGGTCATATTGATGGGGTAGAGGTGCGGATTTTAATTGACACAGGGGCATCGGCGACCATTATATCTGATTTGATTTATAACATCCTTCCCGTTCAAAGTCGTCCCTTGCTCCCTGTTGACGTGCCATGCTATGCTGCTAACGGGGGCTCGCTGGGCATTATTGGGCAAATCCGCGCCACTATTTGCATTGGAGACATTAAATTATCCGGGCCTGTTTTGGTTTCCTCCTCACTCGCGGTTCCGTGCCTGTTGGGGACGGATTTCTTGGCCAAAATGCCCATCCGTATCCTGATTGACCAGGGGTGCATCGAGCTCCCATCGGGCCGACGTGTTACATTTTTGTCTTCCCCCACCACGGAGCGTCGGGCGTTTGCCACCGTGCAGGCGCTCGTGACAAAAACTGTGCGCGTACCTCCGGGGGCTCAGATGCTCGTCTCTCTTAGGTTGCGTCGGCCGTTTGCTGAAGGGGTTGCGGATCGGGGGGTCTTGTTGGGACCATCTCGAGCCGGGGTCAATGGACCCGATTTGCTAGCGGCTCAGACCATGGTGAGAGGGGATGGGGACCCCTTCATTGCAGTCCTTAATGTAGGATCGCGAACGGCCGTGGTTCCTCAAGGGACCGTGCTTGCACACGCAACGCCGGTACCCTATGAGGAACCACTCGTGGGTCAGGTAACCACCGATCCTCCGTCGCGACCGCATTCGGACTGTGATGACGGATGGCTGGATGCGCTTTGCGTGGGATCAGTGGACCTGTCCGACTCGCAGCGCGCGCAGCTGCGAGTTCTCCTGAGCGAATTTGCTGACGTTTTTAGTCAACACAAATTTGATATTGGTTGTACTAAATTGCTGCGACACCATATTGACACGGGTGACAGCGCGCCAATCCGCCAAAATCCCTTTCGGTTGAGTCCCGCCGAAAAGGATCATGTCAAATCGGCTGTTGATGACATGCTAGCCGCCAATATCATTTCCCCTTCCAACAGCCCGTGAGGCGCGCCGATCGTTTTGGTGAAAAAACACGACGGCTCACTGCGGTTTTGTGTCGACTTTCGGCGTTTGAACAAAATTTCTGTGGCAGATGCGTACCCGCTTCCTCGAATGGATGAGTCGCTCGATGCCTTGGCGGGGCCGCGATTCTTTTCCACCCTCGATTTACTATCTGGATTCTGGCAGCTTCCTCTGGATGACGAATCAAAACCTAAGACTGCTTTTCGTACACCGCAAGGTCTCTTCCAATTTAACCGGTTGCCGATGGGTTTACATTCTGTGCCGGCAACTTTTCAGCGGTTAATGGAACTGGTCTTGGCAGGCCTGCAATGGGATTCGTGTTTAATTTACTTGGACGATGTCATCGTCTTTAGCAAATCCTTCGAGGAACACCTCCAGAGGTTGCGTGCTGTTTTTCTCAAAATGCGGGCTGCCAATTTAAAATTTAAACCGCAGAAGTGCCATTTACTCCGCGAATCGGTGCGGTATTTGGGTCACATTGTTGGGCGCTCGGGGATATCCACTGATCCCGCCAAAACGGAATGCGTCAGCTCCTGGCCGACTCCCACCTCGGTGGGAGAGGTCAGGAGTTTCATTGGGTTCGCGTCGTATTATCGACGGTTTGTGGCTGACTTCGCTACGATCGCGAAACCATTGCATGCCTTGACGTCCAAGGGAGTCAGGTTTCATTGGGGGCCGGAGGAGGAAGCTGCTTTTCGCGCCCTCCGGAATGCCCTGGTGGGGGCTCCGCCGTTGAATTACCCCGATTTCTCACAACCCTTCTTGCTCGATACAGATGCAAGTAACACGGACATCGGGGGCGTGCTGTCCCAGCTCATTGGGGGCGTAGAGCATGTGGTGGCTTACGGTAGTCGGGTACTGTCTCCAGCCGAACAATGGTACTGCGTTACCCGTCGGGAATTATTGGCAATTGTTTATTTCATTCAGCAGTACCGCCCGTATCTGTACGGTCGGCGTTTCACCGTCCGTACGGATCATGCGGCCCTACAGTACGCCCTGCGGGTTCAACAACCATCGGGCCAGTTGTCTCGATGGTTGGAGATTCTCCAAGACTATGACTTTGTCACCACATATCGTAAGGGCGTCCGCCACACGAACGCTGACGCCCTGTCGCGGTTGCCACCCACTTCGGAGTGCGCTTGCCTCTTGGGTTCTGGGCGTTGTAGGCCCCCGAACGTCACCACCGATTCGGTCCTCGTGGCCGCCGCCGATGCGCCTTTGGCTTCGGGTCCTATCGAGCAAGAAGGGAGGGATTCGTTGCTGGGGTTGTCGGTCGCGGAATGGGGACGCCTCCAAATGGAGGACACCTCCCTCCTCGCTCTGCGCCGTCGCGCCGGGGGGGTTGGTCAGGGGGTGGCGAACGTTGACTCGTGGGGGTTGTTCCAGGGTCTTTTAATGCACTGGGACGGAAAAACCCGCCGCCAGCGGCTCGTGGTGCCTGCAGCATTAAGGGGTAAGGTGGTATGGGCTGTTCATGAGCGGCTTCTGCACTTGGGGGTTCACAAGACCTTTGCCACGCTCCAGCTCGATTTCTTTTGGCCGGGCATGGCAAAGGACGTGGGGGATCTCCTCGGGTCGTGCACGCAATGCGCGCAGCGGAAGCCACCTGCTAGGGGGTCCAACCCTCCGCTGCAGTCCATAAAGGTTTCCCGGGTTAACGAGCTCGTTGCTCTAGACATACTCGGCCCATTTCCCGCTACACCCAGGGGGAATAGGTATTTATTGACAGGGGTCGAATACTTCACGAGATGGCCTATGGCCTGGCCCCTGGCCAACCAGTCGGCAGCAGCCATCGCGGAGGCCTTTGTCCAGGGCTATGTCCTCGACAAGGGTGCTCCGGAACGGCTGCTTACTGACCAGGGTAAGAATTTTTCGGGAAAACTCCTCCGCGAGGTGTGCGACCTCTTGGGTACGGAGAAGGTTCGGACCTCTCCGTATCACCCACAAACTGACGGGATGGTGGAACGGCTGCATCGGACCATCACGTCTATGCTGTCCCAGCAGGTGTCAGTATCCCAGACAGATTGGGACCTTCGTATAGCCGGTGTGTTGCAGGCCTACAGGATGGCTCCCCATGCGGCCACCGGATTTTCCCCTTTCTTTTTAATGTATGGGCGCGAGGCTAACCCCCCTGTGACGACCCAGCTGAAGCTCTCGGCGCCCCAGGCGAAGTCTAACTTGTCCGAACACGTTAAATTTAACATCAGCAAATTGTCTGAGGCGCGGGAAGCGGCCGTGCAAAATTCTGAACTCCGCCAGAGGGCGAACGAGAGGCTTCGGTTGGGGCGGGTACATGTGGTCAAATGGAAACCAGGGGACAGGGCATGGTTGCACTGTCCCCAGGTGCCGCTGGCAACCTCGTCAAAATTGGTACGGCCGTGGCGGGGGCCAGTGGAGGTCGTACAGGTCTTGCGGCCGCAATGTGTTCGCGTCAAATGGGGGAGGCGTCGGTGGTATGTGCACCCCTCAAGGTTGAAACCGTTCATCGCGCCGCCCCGTGGTTCACACACACACACGCATGGCCAAACGTGTGAGGGTTCCGCCGACTCCCCGACGTCGCTGCGCTCGCCTAACCTGACATCAACTGTTCCATCCCCAGGTGCAACAGGAGTGACGGGTCCATGCCCGCCAACCCCTCCTGGAGGGGTCGGGGGTCACTCGGCAGCGACGCCCGACTCTCTTGCACCCGGATCATCAACAACCGCCACTGAGCGTGCCGGGACGGGCCCTTGTGACGGGCCCGCCACGAGAACGCGCGCCAAAACGCGCAGACTATTGTGAGGTCGGCCGTTGGGGGGCCTTGCGGACAGTGTGAGGGGTGGCGTCCGGAGTGTGTGTATATATGTTGGTTTTGGGGTGTTTATTCGGGGGGGTGCGTCGGGTTATTTTTTTTCTCTCTCTCTCTCTCTCTCTTCCTGTTGTTGTTCTTGTTATGGTTCTCTTTGTTCTTGTTAAAAATTACGCGAGGCACACACACGGTTTTCGGGAGGGATGCACCTTTATTCTGATTTTTTTTTGCAGCCGGGGACGGCTGCGAGCTGTACAGGGGGGGGTGATGTAGAGGTGTAATTACGCATGGCTACGGATGTTGAGGTGTAATTGTACATGGCCACGGATGGCCAACAAACACAAGGGGCGGGGTTACGGCCGTACACAAGGGTGGCGCTCGCACCGACGTCCGCATGTGCATCCCCCACGGGCCCCCCCTCGGGGGCGAGTCCTATAAAAGGTGATGAGCTCGAGGGCTCGAGGTCGGGGCTCAGCTTTAACCAGAGAAGAAGGAAGACCTGCTAGAATAGGCCCCAGAGCTCCCCTGGCTCGCTGTCCTTATAAGGGCCGACCAGGGCAAGCCGGTGGCGTGGCCCCGAGAGCCCAGACTAAGCTGGTCTGGAGACTCAGGGTGCCGGGATCCCAGCTTAACCAGGCTGGGACAGATAGCCTCCCCTAGCCCCGTAGTGGAGGAATTGGCATAGGTTAGCGGGGTTAGCTGTTGTGCATCCCTGTAGCCAAGTGACCCGTAATTACTGTGTTGGTGTAATAAACAAGTGTGCCTCCGATCCTGTCGTCAAGCCTCCTACATACTTACTACACTATTACTGCCACCACATTAACCATAAAGATACACATCCATTCCATCACAGCTGACTTTCAAAATCTCCACCGATATTATTTTAAATGTGTAGGCCATTATGTTCAAGGGAATAATTAGAATATTCATATAAACAATAATTTCACGAAAAATGATTCAGCTAAATTTATACAGCAACTCCACCCAGTCCTTTGAAACTATAGCAGTCTGTGTGAAACACAGCTGCACCTATCTCAAGGATAGCCTTGAGCTATGAGAATTACAGCGCCAATACCAAGCACTCACTGGTCATGTTGTTATTGCTGTTTATATTAAGCTCAGATTAATCTGCCACACATTCCACACACGATGGAGAGATGGCGATGTCTGCCATAGCAGGAAGTTGGAACGGTGCCGTGTTTTGTCTCTTCACAGATTTGAACCAGCGCAGCCCTCCTCCTCACTCATCCAGGCCTTTGAAGCAAAGACAGAGGTTATGGTGGAGACAAAGGAAGAGGTAAAGGAGGAGGTGAAGGAAGAGATGATGGAGGAGGAGGTAGATGCAGAGAAATCGGAGGAAGAGAAGACAAAGGAGGACGAGATTGTGATGGAGACAATGGAGAACACGAAGGGAGAGGATAAAGACAATATAGAGGTGGAGGACCAGGACAAAACACAAGATGAACAGATGGTCGTGGTGGGGGAGATGGAGGAGATGGACAAAGGGGAAACAATGGTGGTGGAGGAGGAAGAGAAGACGGTGGTGGAGGAGATGGTGCTGCAGGATTGGTGAGGAGATGATGAAGGAAGATATGGTGGTCGGGAAGGGGGAGAAGATGGAGAAGAAGACAAATGTGGAGCAGGAAGAGAAGGTAGAGGAGAAGATGGTGGTGGAGGATGAAGAGAAGGAGATGGAAGAGGATGAGACAGAGGAGGAGAAGATGGAGGAGGTGCAGGAGGTGGTGATGCACGAAAAGAAGAGGAATCGAGGAGGCTTCGTTCACATGGTGAGAGCAATCACCTCACTCAACCGCCGCGTACTGCTTTGTGGCGGAAGGTCCACCGCCCAGTAGGGGTAGTCGTGGATTGGTGCCAACCATGACCGCTATCACCACACTACCTACCCACCCCTTGATACACGCCACACACACACCACACGGTTCCCCAGAGAGAGGGTGCCACTGGGACCACAGCTGGGGAATGAAGCTGAGCAGCAGATGCCAGGACTACAGGGGAGAATGACTGCTACCAGGACACCTCTCTCACACACACACACACACGGGACTATCCCAATAGCATAGCCAACCCCACACTGGGCCCCTTCCATGCTGGTTTTCATCCAGGCAGTCCTCATGGGATGACCTTGCCATGGTTTCCAGGACATGGAAGGGGCAGTTGATCCAGGGTGAGAGAGCTGGAGGGGTCAGGTGCAGACAATGAACAAAACCTGCACGTGCCAAGTTTCAAGGCCACCCTGTTAAGAATTAGGATAAATTCTATTGTTGTTACCATAAACTTTGTGAAATCAACCTTTGAGGACAAGCATAACGTTGCATTGCTTGTGAGTGCTTCCTGGGTTGGTTAAATGGGCCTTGGCTTGTGTGTGCAGTGTCCCGGCTGTGTGTGCGGCGGTACAAGGACACATATATAATGAGACGTTTTGGGAAATGGTCCTTCTTCAGAACACATACAAGCGGTGATGGGAACACATTCAGGTGATTTGCCTTCTTAACGACAAATCCGCCTCTCCTCTGCCCCATGAATCCACTGTTCCACTGCTCCACTGCCCCATTGCTCCACTGTCCCATTGCCCCATGGCCCCTCTGCTTCACTGCCCTTCTGCTCCAATGCCCCACTGCTCCACCATCTGGCACAGCAGTTGAAACTAATTATTGAGTATCTTAAATCCCCCTGCCGCTGTCCACCAAGCAGTGAAAATGGGTGCGCCACAATCGTGCGGCAAGATGTGTGTGGTGGATTAAAGAGAAAGCAATTGCAGGACTGTGCCACTGCTGCACAATCCCATTAGATTTGGGAAAGTATTCAAAGAATGCTGCATGATCACTAAACAGGTTGCTGCTAATGTATATAACGTGTGGGGGGGGGGGGGGGACGCGTGTTTAGAGGCAGCCTAGTGATCTCGAGGTCATAGCACTGAACTGGCACCATGGAGTACCTCGGTTTGAATCCAGGCAGCCGCCTGTCATCGAAGCGGATTTTCAAGTCTAGCGAGTTAATGGTCTCAGCCTGTTCGTCATTGACTGCACAAAAACACGTTCCTTTGGAGTGGGCAGGTAGGAACTTGGTTGGACAGCGCATTCGTGCGATCCGTGTTGGATACCGTAGTCGTGTTGGAAGTTGTATCTGTTACTATTGCATCAGATGATGATTGTTGATTTATTGCTGTAGGTCTTTAAGTTCATGCGGCTGCTGCAGCAGGTCGCGCCTGTGCTGTGACGCCGCCTCCTGCGTGTACCACGCGTGCCAATCCACCTGACCTGGTCCTTGAACGGCCACGATGCTGTTGTAATGGCGCACCAGGTGCATGATGTTGAGCAGGGCGTAGACGCCGCAGTCGTAGCCGTTCGGTTGCTGCGGCACAAGCACCGTGGTGATTGCCACGGTGGTGATCGCCACCGGGTGCTCACCGATTTGGCGCGCACGACCCGGTCCACCACCATGCTGGCGAAGGCCGCGATGTTTTTGGCGTTGCGCGACTGCCCGCACGCTGCCATTGAGTCTAACAGCATGGCAGTCGACCTTGGTGGGCACGTGGCATTGACGATGACCAAGATCTGCCAGTGCGACTGGTCGTGGATCGGTATGATCCACACCGGCCTGGAAGACACGCCATCGAAGACGCAATTCAAGTCGTCGAGATGGCCCACCAAGAACTTTGTGTACAGGACCGTGTTGAACAGGAGGACGTATGCCGCTCGCGGCAGGCAGTAGAATTGCCCGAACAGGTTGATGATGGTGTCGTTCAACCACTGGCCAGGTTGTAAGCAGCGGAAGTCGTTTGGAAACAGCCTTCCGTACCCCGGAACGAAGACAACGTGTTCGACCGAGACAGGGGGCGGACAACGTGGAGTGACGCCGGGCGAAGGCGGGCTTAGTCGCCGCTTCACCGCCACAGCAGACTCTTGCGGCGTTGGCTCCTCCGGCCGCGACCGTTTCCCACGCGGGACGAGTGGCTTGCGAGCCTGTGGTCCCACACGTGGTTGCCACATGCCGTTTTTGGCAATGTCCATTCGCCATTTCGTCGAATGTATATTTGGCCGCAACGTCTTGAGGTGCGCCTTCCGGAACGAGAGCGTCAAAGGAAAACAACGGAATCGACACGCCTGCCGTACGCGCCTGAACATCACGTACGGCAACTCGAATGACAGATTGGGGCTGGCGCGACTTGGCTCCAGCAGGGCGATGATGTACGCGAACGTCGCGCCCTGGCATTTCCATGTGGTGATTGCGAACGACAGGTCGACTGCGTGCATCTCGTAGGCGACCGTGACCTTGCCGATCCGGATCGTCTTCGGCTTGCGTTTGATCAGTCCGATCGGGATGTGGACGGCATCGACACCACCGTCAGCATCGCGCGGGGCGACGTTGAGATGACGCGGCTATGCGGCCACATCGACCCCATGCACGGAGACGATGATATGGTCAGGCGGCATCGGCACGTTAATGACACGGCGGACGCCATCGTCGCCGCTGTCGCTTTGAGCACGTATGGTGGCGATGGTTGTGCGGCGTTCGTCCGCATTGTCCCACGCGACGGATACCAGCGTGCAGGGCATGCCATTCGCGACATTGTAGACGACGTTGCCGTTACCATTGTCGAGGATCTGGGCAGGGCAGCCAGTGACGAAGTACCCGAACAGCTCGGGATTGTCTTTCTCCTGGTAGAGCAGTGACTGCAGCGAGACAGGAACGTCGCGCTTCAGGCGCCGACGCCACCGCAAAACGTGTCGACCCGTGGCGACGGCGACGTGTACAGCACGTGCAGCATTGATGACGGCCCGATCGCGATTGCTTGTCGTCAGGCACGTGGATTCCGTGAGCCAGGCCGGATCTGCGGCGATCTCGATCTTGGTAATCGATGCCGTCAGGCCATCGATTATGTCGTCGGTGATGGGGCGGAAGGCGCAGTCGGCATCCGTCCAGCGGGTCCCCGTCGGGTAGCACCGCGGTAGCGCCCGCATCCCCTGGAGGCGCCGGCAATGATCCGGACAGCCAGCGGCCCGGAGCTGCTCAGTCATCTCGAAAACATGGAATCGCTCGAATAGGGAGCGCGCCATCAGGTCTTCCGACGACACGGCGCCGTACATGACGCGATATAAATCGCGGCCGCATGTAACCGGCAGCTGTATGAAGTCGCCCACCAGGAGGATGGAGATGCCCCCGAAAACCACGCGCGGATTGTACATTGAGCGCAGGCACTGGTCCAACAGCACGAGGAAGGCAGCCGGCAGCATGCTGACCTCGTTGATGACGACGAGGCGCAAACTGTCGCCGCCGATGACGTTGAAAATCAAGTCCACCAGCTGGCCGGCGTTCAGGTCCTTGACGAACGAGTTCCACATGGCAGCAAAAGTCTGCCCCTGGGGCAGCGGGCAGGCGCCGACGCCGGTATAGCAGCAGCAGGCCGTTGTGCCGCCGCGTGAGGCGATTTCATCGGCGGTTTTGTGGATGCAGACGCTCTTCCTGACGCCACCACCGCCGTGCATCATGAGCAACTGCTGTTTGGGCACGTCGACGATTTCCGATGCGACACAGTACTGGCCATCGGTCAGAAAGCACGGCCCGATTTTGACCATGGCCTCGTCATGGAACATCGGATCTACAGGGCCGCCATTTCTTCCACGGCCACTGGCGGCACCAACGTCGCCGTGATCGGTTTGGTGCGGTTCGAGGGCATGGATCTGTTTGCGCATGTCGCTCAGCGACAGTCGGACGTCATCAGCGGCCCCCTCGCCGTGCAGCAAATCGTAGTTGTCGGGCGGGGCGTACACCGGCACCGACGGCGCTGGTCCATGGCTAGCCGCGAGTTGTTGATGTCGGGCACGAGATCCGGATTGAGATGGTACCGGACGTCGTTCACGCGCAGTACGGAGACGTGCCATTCAACGAGATGCTCCGGCAGGGTGCACTGATCGGCGACTTGCTCATTGGTGAGGCGGAACACAATGGGAAGCTGTTCGACGGGGCCGGCGTCGACGATGGTCTTATTGGCCTCAAAGAGAAACTCATTGCATGACGCGCACGCCGCGATGCGCCCCGTGCCGGGGTCATGGGCAGCCGCACTGCGCTGACAGTGCACGGTGTCGTCGTGGTCTACCGTGCTGCCAATGGCTCGTAGGATCCGCTCGCAGACCGCGGGTCCATTAGGCCCATGCAGGCTCTCATCATTGAAGACAAAGGCGTCGGGTTGGTTTGCGCACAGGTGGAAATACGGCAGCGCCAGACGCGGATCCTTCGCGAAATTTTGCGACTTCGCCAGGAACCTGACGGTCTCCTCACTAGGGTCCTGCTCAGCGAGAGCGGTCTCGGCCAGAGACGCGAGCATGGCGTCCTCAGTATCGACGCTGACGTGTCGCTTCTCGGCCTTCGTGACGCGCGCGTGCTCCAGTCGGGCAGCACGCTCTTCGGGCATCTGGGGCGCGGCACGTCGGGCAGCCATCGAGACGCACGCGCGCTCCAGTCGGGCAGCACGCTCTTCGGGTGTCTGGGGCGCGGCACGTCGGGCAGCCAACGAGACACGCGCGCGCTCCAGTCGGGCAGCACGCTCTTCGGGCATCTCGTCCTTTATTGTGCGCCCGCCGCCGTACTGTAGCCAGACGTCGCCGATGGTTGTGAACATCCCTACTTTCTCCACACCACCGATGGTTGCACTCAACGTCGGCGATCGCGCCAGAAAACTTTTGCAGTCAAGCAAACTGCAATATGCCAAGACATTCACAGTCACTGAACTGCGCAGAGTGCACGACAGACAAATATGCACGACAGACAGCCAAATA